TGGGCCTCTCCTACCTCCTCTGGGTCCCCAACCTGCAGAAGGCCCTTTGCCTTGCAGCCAAGGGGCCGCGCCAGAGTGTAAACCCAATTTCACCCCCTCCCAGCAGCTGCCGATGCGTGCAGATGAAATCTGTATTCTAGCCCAGTAGCTTGGGTGGGTGGGCCCCGGCCCACCTCAAAGATGTCACGCATCACTGTCCGTCTTCACCAGGACCCGTGCATCCCCGCGCCTCTGACACCTGCCTTAGTGGTGCTTGCTGGCTCACGTCACTGGGGACCTGAGGCCTCGTACATGCTGTTCCACCCTCTGGAACGCTGTTCCCTTCACCTCGCCTCACCCCCTCCGAGGGGCCACACCATAGCGGTCGCCCCACCTGCCGCTGTGTGTGGAGCACCCCGCGGGCTGTGAGTTCCAGAAGGCACCATGGACCTCATTGATCGCGACCTCTGCCTGTGCCCAGCATCGTGGCCGGTGCGTGACAGAGGCTCACTGGTGTCTGTCGCATGAGTTGAAGTTTCAAAAGCTGCCACCTGCCACCCCACCACCATGCTTCGTTACCAGGCTCGGGCCGTCCCCCATCTACCCTCCGGATGAACACAGTCACTCTCTCACAAGTCCCCTTTCCACGCAGAAGCCTCTGAGTTTTGTTCTGGGATTTGGTGCATCCGTCTTCTCGCTTAGCCCATCGTGGTGCCGTAGATGCTCAGGGTCCTTCTGTTGGCTCCTCTCCACGTGTGGGCTCGGCCGGTGCCGTCCCTACCTGCAGTGGCTCTCCTCCAGGCCCCCACACGCTTCGATGCGCGTTATCAAGGACTTTTCTGGGAACACGTCTGTGGCTTTCCGATGTGATTATGGCATTTCCACAACATCCCACGTGTGCACAGGGGCAAGCAAGTGCTGGCATGTGTGCGCACTCACACAAACAGAAGTGCGTGCATGCACGTGTCTTGTGTACATGTGCACGTGTGAGCACGTGTGAGCACAGGTATGCTCACGCACACTCGTGCACACGCACACAGGTGCTCGGGCACACGTGCTTACTTGCACGTTTGCACACATGCTCGCAGCACACCCTCACACATACACATGCACACACGCCTTCATGTGAGCGTGCACACATGGGCACTCACACAATACACATTGCACACATGTGTACACAAGCATGCACACACCCTCACATGCACACTCATGTATGTCCATGTGCACACTCATGCATACATCACACACACCACAGGATCTGAGCGGCTGCTGCTGGGGCCCCCCACCCACCTCCTGAGGGACAGGAAGCCCCAGTCAGAGCAGCAGGATGGGTGGTGTCCCCTAGGTGGCCGACATGGGGGTACAGCAAGGCCTTCAACAACTCCCAGACAACAGTGGCCTTGTTTCCTGAGCAAGGTGGGAATGGCTGGGCTGCTCCTCTGATTACCTCTCAGGTCCACCGGGAGCCATAATCCTCTTAG